AGGTCGGTGAGGGGGGGGGCCGGTGGGGTGGGCAGTTAGGAGCCACCAGGCAGGCAGGTGAGTGATTAGGAGCCAGTGGTCCAGGATTGTGAGAGGTATGTCTGACTGCTGGTTTAGGCCCAATCCCCGGGATCAGGCCTAAACTGACAGTCGGACATCCCCTGAGGGGTACTTGATTAGAGAGGATGCAGGCTGGGCTGAGGGGACCCATGCATGAATCTTGTGCACCAGGCCTCTAGTCCTAAATAATAAAGTCTAATATGCAATTGACCAAACGGTGGGATGACCAGTTGCAATGACACTCACCGACCACCAGGGGGCAGATGCTCAAAGCAGGAGCTGACACCAGGTGGTCAGTGCACTCCCACATGGGGAGTGCCCCTCAGCCGGATGCCAGGCTCACAGCGGGAGAGTGCAGCAGCAGTGGTGGGAACCTCTCCTGCCTCCACTGCAGGCAGGTGGTAAGGAGCAAGGGGTCCCCAACTGTGAGAGTCCTGGGCTGAGAGAGGGTGCAGGCCGAGCTGAGGGAAACCCCCTGCCCCCGCCCAGTGCACAAATCTTGTGCACCAGGCCTCTAGTTAATCTTATAAATGACCCATTGGGCTTATCTCCCTGGAACAAACTCCTCTTCTTTTACTCAACCCGGTCCAGCCCAATTGTGTCCTGCCCAGTCCTGCCTTGCCCAGCTAAGCAGGGAGTTCTGTTGGGAAGGAGATGTAGTGTGGTCAACTAAATATTGATCCTGGAACAATCAGCATTTAGTACACTGTTACGAAATGCATGCAGAATTGTCTATGTGTGGGAAGATTTGCATGGGAAGGGGGTGTTGATGTGTCTCACTTCACCTGAGGCACTGATCTAAGAGTAGGAAGGACTGTAGAATCAGGGGTAGCTACTGCAGCAATCTGATCTCGTTTTGGTTGCAGTGCGGGGTGTGTGTGTGTGTGTGTGTGTGTGTGTGTGTGTGGAGTGTTGATGTAGGAGGGAGCAAGAGGCTGATGGGAAGTCTAGTCTTCCAATTAGAATAGAAAAGGAGAGGCCAATTCAGAACCAGTTAATGACCTTCAGGCTGACCTTTGGCACCCCCCTGCTTATCCTCTGATGGCATCCAACCTTAAGACACAGGCTAAGACCCAGCCTCTTAATCAGCCTTCATCCAGCTGGTAAGCCTTATAGGATCTGGACCCAATCCATAAAATCACTGAAAGACTTTCCTCCTGGTTGAAGGGAATGTCTGACAAAAGTGGGGAAACTCATGGTGAGGGCTTTGGAGCCCTGTGAGGCTCAATGCACACCGACGTTAGGCCTCTCAGCTCGCTCCAGTCATCTTGAGCATGAGAGGAATCCGATCCGGCATCTCTCTTGTTTAAGCCACTGTTTCTCTTTTTTCCTCTTTTTAAAAAAAAACAAAAACACACAAAACAAAACTGAATCTAATCCTAATGGATACAGGAGATAGCCACAGAGTTGAGAGTTGAAGCCACAGCATGGGTGACATTAGTCAAGGAGAAAGATAGAATGAAAAGGGAGACCCTTGAGGAATGCTGATGCTCAAGGGGAGGGTGGAAAAGATCAGGCGAGGGCCATGGAGATGGAGCGCCAGAAAGAGATGGGGAACCTGAAAAGTATCTGGTAAAACTGAAAATGTACCTGTCATGTACTTGGGATGGTTAATTGTATATGTCAAATATAAAATCTATAATAATAAAAGCGTAATATGCAAATTGACTGAATGACTGAACAGCAGAACGACTGTCCGGACGACCATGCTATGACATGCACTGGTGCCAGGCCAGCGAAGGTGGGTGTGATGCAGTGGGTTGGGGGCCCCGCCATTGCCCCACGATTGCCCCGCAGAGGGAGGCCCAGGCCACCGGCTGGCAGATGATCAATTAGGGGGGTCTGTGGAACCGGGGAACCAGGAGTGTGTGGCAGCGGACATGGGGAATGCCACGCCAAGGCGGGTGTGGGCAGGGAGAGGGGCCAGGGCTGCAAAAGCCAGGGCTGTGAAAGCCAGAGCTGCAAAGCTGGCGGCCAGGGATGAGAAGCCAGCAGCCAGGGGAAGGAAGGTCTACCCTTTCATGAATTTCATGCATCAAGCCTCTAGTTATATTATAAAATTACTAGAGGCCCGGTGCACAATATTTGTGCACTTGGCGGGGGGGGGTCACTCAGCCCGGCCTGTGCTCTTTCGCAGTCCAGGAGCCATCGGGGGATGTCTGACTGATGGCTTAGGCCCACTCCCTGTGAGACCAGGACTAAGCCGGCAGTTGGACATCCTTAGTGCTGCTGCCAAGGCGGGAGAGGCTCCTGCCACCGTTGCTGCGCTCGCCAGCCTTGAGCCTGGCTTCTGGCTGAGTGGCACTCCCCCCTGTGGGAGCACACTGGCCACCAGGGGGCAATTCCTGCATTGAGCGTCTGTCCCCTGGTGGTCAGTGCTCACCATAGCGACCAGTTGGTCCTCTGTTTGGTGGATTTGCATATTACCCTTTGATTATATAGGATATTGGGTCACAGGGTACCTAGATTACACATTATTTTTGCATATGTCTGGATGAGATTAGCATTTGAATCAGTAGACTCAGTAGGCTGTCCCCCCAATGTGGATGGGCATCATCCAATCCATTGAGGGCCTGAATAGAACAAAAAGTGGAGGAAGGAGAAATTCACTCCCTTTTCCTTCCTGCCTGCCTGCTGAGCTGGGACATGGTCTTCTCCTGCCATCAGACTGGGATT